GAATAAATATTTGCTATTACTATACCATTTGTGATTTCTTTATACCAAATTATTCCAACAGCTTCCAAACAAGATTTTATGTTCCAATCTCTTTTATCTCCACTTCATCCTACACTCTACTAGCTCACTTTTACTGAAACAGTGCTTTTGTAATGTTATTCCTCTGCTCAAGAGCATTCCTATCTGATCTCAGCAGTCCCCCAGGGTTTTCTAAAAGGCATTAATAGAGGCACATGAAGAGAGAGATTAAAGACATTTGTGTCACTCACTGTAAAAGTTCTCAGTCCTTAATTTACCAAGGTGCACTGTGACTCTTCCAGGAGAAGGATTTAATATGTCCCTCTCTTTGTGACCACAGAATTCTTTTTAAAGGAGCAGGTCAAGTATTTTGTGGAAAATGCTATAAGAAATACTGGCCTGTAGAAGTTATCTAAGACCATTTTCAAAAATATCCATCAGGACTCTAGGTAAAACTGAAAAGAAGACAGTAATCTTTCATGCCCGTCCTGTTTCCTTTTCTCATCTCTCATCCACATTCTAAGGCTTCCTTCTTAACAAAAAGGCTTATTAAGAAATCAGTTGGGTTTCCTAGACTAATTCCTAGGTACTTCAATAGATGAATGGATAAAGAAACTGTGGTATATATACACAATGGAATATTACTCAGCATTAAAAGAGAATTAAATAATGGCATTTGCAGGTAAATGGATGGAAATAGAGAATATCATGTTAAGCAAGTAAGCCAATCTCAAAAAACCAAGGGCTGAATGTTCTCTCTGATAAACCGATGCTGATCCATAACGGGCAGAGGGTAGACAAGGGGGAAATGGAGGAACTTTGACAGGGCAAAGGGGAGGGAGGAGAGGGAGAGTGCAAGAGGACAGCAAAGATGGTAGAATGAGATGTACATTATTATGCTAGGTACATGTATGACTGCGCATATGGTGTGATGCTACATCTTGTACAACCATAGAAATGTACAGTTGTGCTGCAATTGTGTACAATGAATCAAAATGCATTCTGCTGTCATATATACCTAATTAAAATAAATAAATTAATTAAAAAATAAAGTAGAAAAAAAAGTTCTTTAGAGTTGAATTGGTTGGTTGAGAACCTAAGAGGAAGTCTACAGGAACTTTTTTTGGTTAATCTAAAATTTTTAAAGAATTATTAAAAAAAACTTCACATCTTTTATAACTGAATGGTTTCAATATTTTTATAGCCTGAAATGTACTGTATTCTTTTCTCATTCTAATTTTTCTGTACTTTTGAAATACTGATTATTGATTTTTTTTCCTGATAAAGTTCTAATAAATACTTTTAAAAAAAGAAAAGAAAAAGAAATCAGTTGGGGCTTGGGATGTAGCTTAGTGGTACAGCCATTATTGCCTAGCATGAACAAAGCCCCAGGCTAGATCCCCAGCACCATGAAAACAAACAAACAAAAAACCAAAACCAAAACAAACCAAACAGCCTCAAAATGCAAGTGTACTGGCACATAGCTTTGAAAAGAGAGGTTTTCCTGGGCTTCTTCTAACCTATTTTAGCTTTCTTTTTTCTTCTTCCTTTTTTTGGGGTCAAGGGGGGTACTGGGGATTGAACCCAGAGGCTCTTAACCACACTGAATCACATCTCCAGCCCCATTTATATTTTATTTTGAGACAGGGTCTCACTAAGTTGCTTAAGACCTTGCTTAGTTGCTGAGGCTGGCTTTGAATTTGCATCAGCTTCCTGAGCTACTGGGATTAAAGGCATTCACCACTGCTCCCATCTCTACTTTAGTCATCTTTTTGACCCAGTCTTGCTCTTCAGTGATACTGTATTTTGAATCTTTTGCCTATAAACCGTACCGAATAAAGAGAAACAGCAGGTACTTGGTATTATTAGATTCATCTTAATAACTGGTGTGCACAAACTCAGGAAGATACAACCCCTGTAAAGTGTGACTCTCCTTTCCACAAGTTACTCCTAAAAATCATATTACATAACACAGGTTGGACATAAAATCTATTAGGCTAAAGTTTTGGAAAATGCATTTTTTTTTTTTTTTTTGGTACTGTGGGTTGGACTCAGGGGCATTCAACCACTGACTGAGCCACATCCCCAGTCCTAATTTATATTTTATTTAGAGACAGGGTCTCACTGAGTTGCTTAGCACCTTTGCTTGCTGAGGTTGGCTCTGAACTCAGGATCCTCTGCATAAGCCTCCCAAACCACGGGGATTACAGGCGTTCGCCATGGTGCCTGTCTGGAAAATGCATCTTTACTGGTACATGGTATGTTCATTATGAGCACTGTGAGTGGAGGACTTTCCCTAAATGATATTTCAAACTTTGTAAAAATTTTATGTGACTTGCTGGAGTTGTGGTTCAGTGGTAGAGTGCTTGCCTAGCATGTGTGAGGCAATGGGTTCGATCCTCAGCACCACATTAAAATGAGCAAATAAATTAAAGGCATGTGTCCTTTAAAAAAAAATTTATGTGACTGGCTACTTGATATATTTTATGACAAATAGTAAAATGCACTATTTACTAAAAATCAGTTCATTCATTACTGAAAATCTGAGGGAGGATTGTGTCTGTAAGAATTCATAAGATAGATACAAAGAAGGTACATTGCAGGATATCTATCAACAATGCCTTTCTGGGGAGTCACTGTTCATAGTACAAAATAGTCCTGTTTTATACTACATATGTCAGATGTATGCTACTATAACAAAACACCTGAGGTAATTAACTTATAGAGAAAAAGGTTTATTTTGGCTAGAAGTTCTAGTCCAAGATTGAGTGACTTCATTGCTTTGGGCCTCTGAGAGGGCAGTACATTGTGGTGGGAGCATGTAGTGAAAATTGCTCACCTAATGGTAACTGAGAATCAAGAGCTGAAAAAAGAAGGGGCTAGTGTCCCAATATCTCCTTTGGGGATATACCCCCAATAAATTTAAGAACCTCCCCCAAGGTCCTGCCTCCTAAAGGTTCTTCTACCTCTCAAAAACACTACACTGGCAACCAAGTCTTTAACACACGGACCTTCGGGGAATGCTTATCCAAACTACAGCATATACTATATCTACATACTAAATATAGACTATAGACTACCTAGATACCCATCTGACCCAAAGATAATCACAGTGAATGTCTTTCATTCTGACAGAACTCTAATTTTCTTTAGTAATTTCTTCCCACAGTAATTTTTTTTWAAAAAAGAAAAGCTTATGCACCAATACATACATCTCTATCTATATACACACATATACATACACATATACTTATATAGAGAATTGTGTATGTGAGAGTGCACACGCAGGAATGTGATAGACATCATTATACAAAGTACATGTATAAAGACACAAATTGATGTCAACATACTTTATATACAACCAGAAATATAAAAAATTGTGCTGTATATGTGTAATAAGAATTGTAATGCATTCCGCTGTCATTTATTTTAAAAAATAATTTAAAAAAGAGAGTGCACACACATGTGCTTGGGCCCTCATCAGTAGACTGCCACTCTCTTCCACTCTCTAGGTATAAGCATTCATTTATCACAGAGGAAAAAGAACTCAATCTCAATTCCACAGATAAGTCTGATTTATTTCAGGGTCGTCCATTTCCCCTTGAGGAATAGTGTATTTTGACAGTTTTGCTTTCTCTAACAGAGCTTATTATCCCAAACAAATCTCTAATTGCAAATGAAGCCAACAAAACCTGAGAGGAAATGTGCTCATTTTCAGGGTAGCCTTAAGGAAACAATTTCTCACTTCTGAGAAAAAGCCATAGGAAAAAATGGCCACTTTCCGCTCTGAATGCTGTTACCTCTGGATGTGATATCTGGAACTGAGTAGACATTTTGCTAATAGCTATGCCAATGATGGCAAAGTGAAAGGACACAGAGTACCTGGGTGCTTGACAATACTGTTGAGTCTCAGTCAACTAATTCTAAAAGCTGCCCTTCCACTGGACTTCCTATTTTATGGAAGATGATACATTTCCTCATGGCTCAGCCAATTTGAGTCAAGTTTTTATTACTTGTAGCTGAAAATCTGCTGGACCAGAATGAATACTGAGACTTGGATTAGAAAGCAAGTTGAATCAGATTCCCTGTCTTGGAAAAAAGAGACACAAAGAGGGAAGCTAACAATTAGTTGTAAGATACTGAAGTGAAAGAGTATATAAAAACATATAAAAACTGGGACTTGTATGAGCCATTGTTAGGGAAAAAAAATCAGAGGAAGACAGCTAGGAGAGAAAAAGAAGAGGTATATATTTGCACAAAGAAGAAGCCACTAGAAAGAACATTATTGCTTCTTTAAGAAAAAGACATCTTTTAATTAGATTTCTAGTTCCTTCGATATTTTAGCTAACCTGCATTTTTAATTTACTTTATTTGTTCTTTCAGATAAACATGGCAGTAGAGTATATTTTGACATGTTATATATACATACATGGAGTATAACTTCTTATTCTTCTCATCTACATGATATAGAGTTACACTGAACATAGGAAAGTTATGTCCGATTCATTCTACTGTCTTTCTTATGCCCATCCTCCCTCCCTTCCATCGTTCCAATGAACTTCTATTCTATTTTCCCTCCACCCTCACCCCAACTCATTGTGTGTTAGCATCAGCATATCAGAGAGAACACCCAGCCTTTGTTTTTTTGGGATTGGGCTAAACTGTATTTCTGAAACTTGAATTACCATGAGACATCTCTGTAACCTAACATCTCTGTATTTCCCTTCCCAAGAGTTGGGTTGAGTGTGTGCTCTGCCACTCAAGTAAGAAAGATACATGRTATGGGGTTGGAGACAGGTGGAAATACAATTGTCAAATTATACCCAACTGCAAGCCTGGCCCGGTGGTGTACTCCTGTAATCCTAGAGGCTCAGGAGGCTGAGGCAGAGGGACGGTGAGTTCAAAGCCAGTCGCAGCAATGGCGAGGTGCTAAGCAATTCAGTGAGACCCTGTCTCTAAATAAGATACAAAATAGGGCTAGGGTGCTTGCTTTGGCAGTACATATACTAAAATTGGAATGATACAGAGACAATTAGCATGGCCCCTGCTCAAGGATGACATGCAAATTCATGAGGCTTTCCATATTAAAAACAAACAAACAAACAAACAAACAAACTAGGGCTGGGGATGTGGCTCAGTGGTCAAGTGCCATGAGTTCAATCCCTGGTAAATAATAATAATAATAATAATAATAATAATCCCAAACTGTAAATTAAAAGGGGCCAACAATTAACAGATGAGGGACTAAAGAATGGCTCCAATGAGAATAAAATTTAACAAAGACTATAAAAGTAACAAAAAAATGAAAAGATCATATAATCAGTATTATACAAGCTGGCTGTTAAGAGGGAATAAACCATGTGTCAAAGATGTTCCATCTGTAGCTAAAAAGTATCCGGATCAAGCATGAAAATTTTCAAGTCTTTTCCTGACACATTTTTATCTTCCCTTATTTGTACACTTTTGGAAAAGAATGCCAAAGCTTGACATTCTCTGGGCAGTATTTTTCCTATCTGGTGCATCTTTACTCTATTTTCTTTCCCAGTTGAGTTCCATCAATATTACCCTATACTAGTCTTCACTGTATTTCACTCTGGTTCCTGTCAAGGTAATCCCTATGTCTCTAATATCTCCCAATTCCAATACAAATAATCTTTCTAAAGCAGGATTCTGAATGTGTCATGCCTCTATTTAAAAACTCTCAATAGCTCTCCCATGCCTATGGCATTAATGAAGCCAAGGTTATTCCTTATCCTAGCTTATACATAGAACCTCCATTATATATAGCTTCAGTCTGCTTTTAGCCCTTAATCTCTCTTCCTATTACCATCTCTTCTTACTACCCCTCCCTTCCACCCTCATTTATTCCTGTTAACCTGAACTGCTTTGTTCTTTATATGAACCTCATAGTTTTCTAATTCTGAATTTTAGCTCATGCTATTACTTTCATCTGATGCTTACACCTCCAAACATACAAACTAAATTTCCTTTCATYTTTATAGAAGTAATAGGTTTTCAGAATAGAAGTATATTCTTACTAATAAAACAATCACATGAATCTGAGTCTGTGTAGAAATGTGCAAAATCACTTTAAGAATGACAAAGTCAGTAATACCTTACCAAAAATGGGAGTTTACCAGAAAAGTCAGCAGCAATCCAAGTGCTATCGAAAAGTATCAGTCAAGACTATAGGCTTAATAGTCCTTCAAATTTCACCACAGTCAAAACACTCTGCCTTGCTCTTTAAGCTTAGTTACTGTTATATCAGTATGTCTCAGCTATTACAAAGTACTTGAAAGAAAAAAAAAAACCTTTAGATTGCAGTCTACAGCACTATGATTAATGACTTATAAGTAATAAATATTCAATGAATACATGCACAAATTTATTCTTAGTCTATTGGAAAACAAAAAGACACTGAAGTTTTCTATTTTCAGATTAAAATAAGGAAGTTTTTCACTCCTGGAATAAGTTAGCTAAAGATCTCATTTAGTATCATCCTTAAAGTGATTTTGTACATCTCTGCAGTGACTCAGATTCATGTGATTTTTTTATTAATGAGAATACACTGCTATTTCTTTCTTTCTTTTTTTTTTAGTTTTAGGTGGACACAATATCTTTATTTTATCTATATGTGGTGTTGAGGATCGAACCCAGTGCCTTGAGCATGCCAGGCGAGTGCGCTACCACTTGAACCACATCCCCAGCCCCAACACTGCTATTTCTAAAAACCCATTACTGTGCTTTAAATGTGGCCTCTTCAAAATTCAGGCGTTGGAACCTATTGGTCAATGTGATGGTACTTTAAGATGGGGTCTTTAAAAGGTAAATGGGTCCTGAGGGCTCCTTCCTTGTGAGTGGGATAAAGCTTTTGGAAAGAGATTTCATGGAACCTGGCCATTCTGCTTTCCACCATTTGAGAACACAGTGTTCTTTCTTACCACAGGATGCAGCTGGGAACAAGCCTTGAACTTGGACTTCCCAGTCTCCAGAGCTATGAGAAATAAATCTGTTCTTTATAAATTACCCAGCTTGAGGTATTTTATTATAGCCTCATACAACAGATTAAGAGTATAAGAAAATAAAATGTATAATGATATTACATTAAGGGAAAAATAGAAGTTTCTAAGAAATGTTAGGTCAGAAAATTGAATGGGAATTGGGCAACTGGCCATCAACTCAAGGTAGAATTTCACAGAATGATTTATTTTACCTGGAATGCCAAAATCCCTAATACTAAACATGAATATGTGTAAGTACAAATGTTCAGATCAGACATTTCAGAATAATTAACAAATGCATTTCAGAAACAAACTGTATAAGCTATTTTGCATAATGAATTACTTGGTCCTGTTTCTTTCCATTAACTTCAATGAATTTCTCTAAAAAGATTTTAAAAAACGGTGAAACCACTATGTCAGTTATCTTTATGGAACTGTAAAAGAGAATTGGTAAGCTGTTCCTATGGATGATGGGTAACCAGCTTAAAGTGACATAATAAGGATCATTATGATCATTAAGGCCTTAACAGGCCTTATTGACAACTGAACAAAACTGTCTGCATATAAATATGTTTAGGTCACTGAACTTTCTTGGAAAACTGAAAAATAACACATCTCCTAGTAAGTGAATAACTAGAACCATTTTTAACAGGTAAATGTTTAAAAGCAATTTAAATATGTCCTTGACCAACTCTATCTTGGTCCACAGACATGCAATCTTAGATCAAAACAGTAATTATCAATGTTAGAGAGTCAATTCTTTCAAACCCTTAACAAACATTTACAGAGTATTTATAACGCGCTGTGGGCTAAGCACTCTGCCAGGTATTGGAGATACAAACGTAAGTAAGAAATACTTTTTGTTCTCAAGGAGTTCAGTCTAGCAGAGGAGACAGACATATAAGAACATAATTATAAAATAGCAAATACGGCATTGAGAAGTATGTGGGGGCCATTATGGGACCACAGAGATGGGACCTCCACTTAGCTTACCTACTATGAGTGAGTCAAGAGAGGCTTCTCAGGCCATTGTTCCTTTAATAACATTTATTACTGCTACCCTTATCATTGTCAAAAATCTTACCGACAGCCAAAAACACAGCAGATTCCTCACAGAGATTTTTAAGCAACGGTTAATAAAAAAATTGAAATAAATATATGATTATATTCCCTGACCTGTATAAAGAAGTTTAAGACTTCAAATTACTGGTAAATAAGATAACCAAAGAAAGAAGATGAGCATTTTTTTTAAATTTAAAAATGTAAGTAAAATAATTTAAAAATTCTCTTGTCCCTCATATAGCATTTATATATACTTGAAGGATCCACTGATAAATTACTAAATTACTACTCTTAGAATAATGCTTTACATATTCTGGTTAAATTCTCTCAAAGGAATGATTCCAATATATTTTAAAATCAGATTTCATATTCATGATTATCTTCTATAGTATATGTATCTTTAGTGAAAAATAAAACTAGTCTCTACGAGGGGTAGGGGAAATTTCATTTCATCTACAATATAGTCATATTCTCCATGAAGCTTTATACAATATTGCTCTAAATGTATGAAGTTGATGGGTGTACAGATTCTTAATAAGACACAACAGATGGACATGGTTAGTGAAACATGGTTAAGACTGAGGAGAAGAGGCAGTTGATGACAAGCAGAAAAATGTACAAATCTCACTTGCATTTAGACGTGGGGAACTAATTTAAAAGCTACTTAAGATGCCTGTCTTAGAATTGTAAAACACCACTTTAAAAAGTTACTTTATACCGATTAAACAAAGTACAATATCACGGAATGTGTCTTTATTTCAAATAAGTAGTGATTTTTACATAAATAGAACTATAAGTATGGCACCAAGTGACAACATCATAGAATGGAATCAAGAAATGAGTAAAGAAAATGAGGCGGTAACCAATACCTATTTGGGCCAAACAATCTCATGTATTCTGTAGAGCAAAGAAGATCATGTGACAATCAGAGATTTCAACAAGAAAATGAAAAGGAAATCAGCCACTTTAACCTTGACATCTGAGTATTTTACATTTTTCCCATAAGGATCCACCTAATTAGTAGAGTTTCTAAGAGTTTTCCCTCTCCTTCAACTGCATTTATTTTGTACTGAAAACTGAAATAACACAACAGAAATTCCTTAAGAGGAAATAATAAGATCATTGTTGTGGAACAGAAAAATATTTACTAACATACACTTATTGAAATCATGTTCTAAACAAATTTCTATTTTTGTTTTGCTCATAATCTTTGCTTCAAATTCTTCACAATAGATCCCATCTTAAAATTTGTTTTTTGAATTCTAAAACACACATACAAATGCCACAGAATAGTCAATTAGCAAAATGGAATAAAGCAAAGTGAAATCAAAGAGGTCTTCAAACTATATAACTTATGGTAATAGTCAAGGAAAGGAGGCAGATCTGAGAAGGGAAAAAAACAAAACAAAACAATTCTCATCACAGAAACCTTCCAGTGGAACATTTGGGTACTAGCATTGAAACAGGATGGAATCTTCTTCTCATATGATTCTTTGACATAAATCTGCATGCCATTGCTACCACTGACCACTCTGAACTGTTTTAAGTTCTTAGAAAGCTCTCTGTGAGGCAATATGCATAATCATGCCTGGATCTAATCTGATCTCCACACTGAGAGGAAAATAAGCCTTCTTTAAACTTCATTTTTAGGAATCTCTCTCTCTGAAGTACTCTTTACTATGAAAATGACAATTTGCTTTTTCTACTGCCCTTTTTGCTAGTAGATTTTCCTTTTTTTCTTCTGTTGTTGGGGCAATTCTTCTGGTGCTAGGGAAGAATAGTTGGTGTCAGGGCCGAGGGTGAAGTTAATGAGCATTTCTGGGCTAAGGAGAAAGGATAAAAGGCTGTTTTTCTCATTCGGGTTCCCAAAGCAGTTCCATAAATGAAGCAAAATTCAAGTGACTTTTATATCCCGTAGTATGACTGAATTCCAACTAAGCTGTCTTTCCATAATAGAAGTAGCAATGTCTTTATCCAGCTCCTCTAGTGCTGCGTGTTTTCCTCTTTGTTCTCTAGGAGTGGCCCT